CTCAAATCATGCCTTATTTCAATCGGATACAACATTCGTCCAGGAAAAGAGGTTCACAGTTTTTCACTGCTGTGGTTCAGCGTTGTTTAACATACATAACCTGTGTTGAATATGAAAGTCCAGTCCCATTGGATTCTTGAAACTTTATTGTTCAATACAATTTATTCCCCACTCAGTTGCTATTATTTTAAAGACGAAATTTATTTGTTGTTTTACAGAATAGTCATTGCAGCTATTATCAAAAAATTTTGCACTGCAAATAACCATTGGTTCTCTTATTTTCAAATTATTTTTGTTATGGAGGATAGAAGGAACAGTGGGAGGATTTAATTTGCAATAAGAATTGTGGTACTCAGCTAAAAAGTTTTTCGGAACTTTAATCAGTTCAACTGCCTCAATATAGGGCTATTTTAGGGCGACCAGGATATGGGTAGGATATTATCAGTGTTGGATCCAAATCGTATGGGAAGAATACCATTTGATGCTTTCTTAGATTTTATGACTCGCGAAACAGCTGATGCGGATACTGCTGAACAGATGATCGAGTCGTTCAGGATTCTTTCAGCTGGAAAGGTTGCTGGCTTATGGTTTTTGTTTGACTCTGGTTGCCTTTAATAAACAAGGCTTTAGCGTTGATTTTATTGCTGGTAAATGAGCAGTTAGTAAAAGCATTATTTGTGAGATTATTTCTTATTTGATAAGAAAACAGCACTTTTTGCATGAAGCGCGAAATTCATCGTGATGCGGTAAAAACTTGAGCGATAGAAGAATTCAGTTTAGTCAAAATAGCACTAGGTGCCAAAAATTATAGAACTATGCCAAATCAAAAGGCATAAAACAGTTGCTTACTAAATTAAATACGAAAAATAGCATGAAATGACTGAGCGAATCATGTTCGGAGGAGTGCGCGGAACATACCACTACTGATAAAAGAGTGGGACTTATACTATCGGTGGAAAATTTAGCTACTGTACTGACCATCGTTAACAGAGCGCTTTTTTTTTTTCAGCCCTACATAACGGCGGATGAGATTCGCCGGGAGCTGCCAGCGGATCAGGCCGAATACTGTATCGAGAGGATGCATCGTTACCAGGCAGTGAACGCTCCACCGGGTTCCTACGACTATGTTTCGTTCAGTAAAAGTTTGTACAGTCACTGAACAAGTGTTCTTCATTCACCTTCGGTGAAGCCCGTTTCCTTTTCCCATCGGCCTAGCAACAGCTACAGCAGCATCACGGCTGAGCAACTGGACCGAGTATTTGGTTATAGATGAGTAGCCGCGAAGTTTCAGGTTAAAATCGGGTAGGAGTCAATACGAACCACAGCCAGTTCCTTAACGCGTTCCCTCAAAAATGTACGACTAGGTCGGTATTTAAACAGTAGTGCTCTTACCAGATTTCTGATGATAAGACTGCCATTACTTCTCTTTTTCGGGGTCCTGTAGGTTGAAACTAGTTCGAGACCTGATACACTAGTCATGCAAGTTTCGTCTGATGGATTCTCCAAAACGTGGGGTTTTTGATTTCCCAGTTGCCTG